CGCATGTACTAAGAATTAAATATATTGGAGGCTGTACATTGTAATGAAGATACCAGTGCAGAAATAAAATGCTGAACTAAGATTCCAAATTCCTCTGACTGCCAAGCATCTGAAAAATCAGAATAAAAATCAAAGCCAGCTCCAGAGAGGAAGAGTCACAGAAAATCAACATCATAAAACAGAATTTTTCAAAACCCATGGAAACTGAAGTCCTGGAGACGTGCACAGCTCTGCTGCAGACTTAATTTTCATGGACACTTTCCCTTCTGGCCCCAGCTGTCTCAGGTCAAACCTACTGACAGGCCTGAGGTTCCTGCTAAAAGTTCTGCCCATACACTTGGCAGAAAAAGCACTTGACAGCCCCTGCAAAGCTGCCTCTAAAGCTCACTGGTTTAAGGTTACATTTCGACTTCTCCTTACTTGGAATATGACTGAAAATACCACTCGTCTTGGCAAAAAAATTGGAAGAGATTCAGAATAATAGAGGTGAGCAGACCAGTTATTAGCATCTCAGCAGGAGCCACTCAGGGATGCACTTCAGTCTCCACATACTTAAGAGCTAAGACAGCTTCAGCCTTGCCTGAGATTTCCCTCTCCTCCCCACTCTCACAGGATTTACTTCACTTTTTGGTGAACAAGTACTGAGTTCAGGAAACCAAAGAAAGTGAAACATACCACAAACGGCTATTAAACAATCCTCCTTGAGCATTTCTCTGCAAACCATAATCCCTACTTACAAAAAACACCCTCAAAAGACAAAACCCCACTTCAACACATAAAGCTCTCCCCTCCTCCACCTCCTCCCCTTCAGCCACAGACTGACTGGAAGCAGATATGATGTTTTTGGAACCATCATCCAGATGATACAAAGGGTTGATGGACTATGTGTTGATTCCTAATGACTCAGTAACCCCTTCATGGAGTTCACAAGCTCACAGTTGGACAAGGCAAGGCAAAGGAAGCTAATACATTAATTTACAGCATATTTTACCTTTTTCTTTACCATCTGCCTGCCCCAAACTGAACACATAAGAGATCTCCATTAGGAACTGACAGCTCCATATAAAGATGAGCCTGCAGGGTTATCATCTAACATTTCCTCTCCAGCACACAAGGCATCCTGTGTTCAACAGATATTTTTCCTGTTTTTCCTCTCAGAGGGAGGTCCAATTATGTGCTGTGGCAATTCCCTTTCATGTTTTAACTTTGCATTTAGAAGTTACGATATAAAAGGATGTGCAGGCAGAGTCTTTCTCAAGTTTTCACTTCACACATGGATAGACATTTCAAGAAGTTCACAAAGTAATCAAGTTGCTTGTTGAAACTACAAAACACAGCAAGTTATATCTATCTTAGCTCCGCTATAAAACTTACAGATATATCTATCCACACAAATGTTTTTGTATGTATATACACCCAAAAACAAAAGCTGTGGTCTCCATACAATTTCTGCTCTTGCAATTACAATCCTGCATTCAAAACCAGACAGGATCCATAGCAATCTTGCCAGAGTAAACCGAGCACAAATCAGGAGATTACAATGCAGGTGAAGCCAGTCAGCCTGTTTGCCCTCAATCAGTACCACTGTGGGCACACCAAACATTTGCTTCTGTTATTCTGCTCACGGTTTGACATAAGAAAAGCTGCTTCATTTAGGTGGCCTCTCCTCGCGGAGCGCTGCAGATGGAGCCCTGCTCGCTGGCAGCAGCTGCCGGCTGCCTCACACCCACCACGGGCTGCCTGCAGGGCCGTCGGGGGGGATTTTAACTGAGTCCTGCAACCACTTATGGAAGAAACGGAATCAACTACGAGCAGTTAAAATACATCCTACCCCACACACCCGAGCTACAGCAATGTTTTCACGCTGGTGTCACACGTTTAACAGCTACAAGCTCTTACCACAGGAAAACGGCAGCTCATAGGCCATGCATTTGAGCTGTCTTTTCTGCCTTGTATTTTTCCATATAAATTTAATCTGGTGAACATGAAAAAACACGTCTTTTGAAGCAAGGAAAGTGAAAAATGATCATTTTTGCTTCACTGTCACTTGCCACATGCAGCAGTGTCCCACAGCACAAGGCAGTGACAGAGCCCTGGAGCGTCCCCTCAGGTGTCATGGCAGGCCTGAGGGGAGCCAAAGCCCCACACAGAAAAAAGTCTTGCAAGTGGGTAGTTACAGGCTCAAGACTTAACATGCCTTCCCACAGGAGTTACCAAATCCTCTCAACCTTTGGTTAGCCTGCCAAGGAACAGCTTCCATATTTCCTCTTTTAACATAATGCTGGCCCGTGCCACAAGCAGAGACACAGGCTTGTGAAACACCCACCATTACAGTAGCCACCATTACAGTAGGCACCCACACTCCTCCCGACACAGACCCAGCAGGGTGAAGCTGGGTACCCCACAGAGCACATACTCACCCCTCCTTTGCCTCCAGCCCAGCAGCCCCCACAGGCCCAGCCACCATCCTGCACCTCCTGCAGCGGCACAGCTCCCGAGCCACCAGTGCACACCCCAAAGGACACTTAGCCACTGGCCACAGGCATCAGATGTGGGAATTCCCCACTGCCAGGCCCACCTGGACCTCATCAGGGTCGCTGTCCTCGTTGCCCAGCCAGGTGTGTTGCCTCTCCTGCCGGGCTGGTGCTGCTCACCAGCTGGGGCACGTGCTCACACACTTCAGTGCCAGAGGTACAGCTGTGTGCCTGCAGACTGAGCTGCACCAGCTTTCCACACGCTCCAAACCAGCCTGGAACCAGCATGAATGCTTCCCAAGGCTTTGCCTTCCCTCACAGCATTTTGGGGGCTGATCAAAAGAGTAAAAGAGGTCTAAAAAGTGAAGGCTATTTTACCACTTATTGCTCTGTGAGTTCTCCATGTGTTTTTCTTACATGTATTATTTCAAACCATCCTCATGGGTGAAAGAAGCCTTGTCAGCCCCGTTTTTTCAGATGGGGAAATAAGTTGTGGGAAGGAGGAAAAATTCAGTGGTGTGCAATAGGCTAGAGTAATCACAAAACTCCCCCTCTAGAGAAAATAAACTAATGACCTTTAGAGAAATCATGTATGGTGGACAACTAATTATAAGTATTGCTCAAACAATTATACAGGTCCAGGTCCAGTAGTTTGGGTTTTTTTCCCCCCTTGAACCATTGTTCTGAATTTCTCCCATGACAGCTGAAAATACCTGCCTTCTCATTTCCTGAATCAACCTGTTCAGACGTGTAGGACTGGCTGTAAAAGGGCATGAAAGCAGTGCACTTCTGAACAAGCTGGATTGAGTACTAGGATGTAGAGAAGCAAACATTACACAAGGTCACACAGGCACTTTTAAAAATCTCATCCTGGTGCAAAGCCTAGGACTCATTGATGTCCAAAGGCTGTGTTGCCATGCTCTTAATGACACCAAAATGTCACAGTACAAGTTACTTGAAACTACTCTTCAGTAAGAAAAACACCTCTAAAACAAAGAAGATGTCAAATGACTGGGATCATGCACTCAATTATGGTCTTTTTGCCAGTGTGCACTGATAAGTCTTGTTCAGGGATTCACGGTGAAGGCATCAGGAACACTTGTGCTTGAAACTGCCAATACTCATACACTGGTCATATCAAAATCCACACATACTCTAGCAGAGCTTTTGCATGAACCCCTTGCTGCTCTTAAAAGTGTTGCATTAGATGTATTCTGCTGTTCTAACTTGAAAAGCATGTATTTTATTACTGTTTTAAGGTTTTATATATGATTTTACAGGGCATTAGGTAAGCTGGCCTAACATTCTGCAAAACAGTAATCCTTAACCCAGAGCCACAGTCAGGAGCTTTAAAAATGAGTTTTCATTTCTTCATAAATTATTCTCTTCCAAGATTAGGAAAACACAAGTAAATTGCTGAATCCACTTTGCTGATTTGCCACATTTTTCTGAACAACAAACAAGAACATTTCTCTCTGGAGACTGAAATTTCAACAGCCATCTTGGTTACCTTTATCCATGAATCAGAAACCTGAACTCAATTTGGAAAAAGCACATCCATATTCATGCCCATATCCTTAACCTAAGTTTAGGTTACAATATTCCCTGTAAATATTGTGTGGCTCTATTTTTAGTTTATACACAAAGGCAATTCAAACCAGCTCATAATTAATCTTAATAAACAAAACATAAGAAGAGTGGACAGACGATGTTTGCGTGTGTGTAACTTGGGTATGTAGCTAAGTAGCTTAACCCCACAGTCACATCAGGGGTCAGCAGCAATACCAAGCACAGAGATCAGATTGTTCATATTCAAGTTTGCACTGGATCCCACAGATACTTCTAGAGTAACTGATTGTTTATTTAAATGAGTAAAATATTTCCTAAAAAAAAAAAATTATTAATGTTTCACATTCTTAGTTCCAGTGCTTCATTTCCCAGCATCACACATGCATGGGTTACACAAACATAGACAGGGCCAGAAAAGCTTACTTCTTTTTGTATTGTCAAGATAGTTTGATTTGTTTCTTCTCCAGGGAACTTGGAAGCATGTAAGAAGGAAAAGTGCTGGAAAATAAGAATATAACCTTAAGTGCAGAAGAAAAAAAGAGCAAATAATAATGTTGGCCCTTCAGAGTCACTCCTTCTTGAGTTTGCACTGCATGAATGCTGCAATACAATTTTGTCACATTACCACAAGACTTTCTGATTTGGAGTAGGTGTAATGCACTACTGTGTTCACTGAAAAAAACACCATAAGACTAGCCTCCAGAATGTCCAGGAAAATTCCAGAAAACCCACCAATCTTGCTGGAATTGATAATACTTCCCTACAGTTCTAAGTACTTCAAGTAGAATGTGATCAGGTAGTAATGGCTGAAGATAAGCAGATCCAGATAAATTGTTATATTTGGGTTCGACATGGCTGGATCTCTGGTAGCCACTTCTTCATCACATTTCTTTTATTGTTGCTTTGGTTTCAGTGTTGTTTTTTCCTTTTGGGGGTCTTTTGTTTGTTTTTTTTTTAAATTTAACTGACATAGGACTTGTCACTTTCTTTTCTAGATCATCAGCTACTCACCACTGGTGGACAGCTCTCTGATTGCAGAAGTCTGTGTATTGATATTACTACAGAGAAATGCATATCTCACCTTGACTCCACAGAAGGAAAGACAGTGCTCTGAACAAAGTAGTATGAGAGCCTATCTCTGTTACCATTTCCACAATGTGTCTGTGCCATTGTCACAAAAAATGTATCATGTGCTTTGTGTGTTGCAGAGGGACAACTGCAAAGGGATAAGGATTCGGTGACAGAAGCCTTAGCTTCCCCACAAGAAATAAAACCTACCTCAATCATCCCAGACGGCAGAACTAGTAGTTTTAACTCTAATAAATCCTGGTACTAGGTCAAGGCCCCCTGAGCTCACCTTTTTTCAAGTATGTAAAGAGACAAATTACCACAGTGGACTTACAGTGTACGTACTGGAGCAGAGACCAAAGAAGAGATGCCACAGTAGAAGAACTGAAGGAAATACTGTGGCTTCAGGAAGCCTGCAGGCCCATCTGCTCCATATGGCTTCAAACCCGCAGGGGGTTAATACAGAATCACAGAATCTAGCTCCTCCACAGAGACAAAACTACGGAAGTGACTGTCTGCTTGTGGATATTTTAAACAAAAAAGAAAACATATGGCCCTCTGGAGCTATGCTTGCTTTTTCTCCAGCTGCTATGACACAGAGAACAGATAGCCTGGGCCCACAACTAAATGCAAAAGCTTTATTCCAAGGAGCAATTAGGAAACAATCTAGGGAGCGTGCTTCAATTTAAAAAGTTCTCAGCTTAGCAAATCAGAAACAAAAATTTTGAGAATGCTCATGTATACTGATTAGTAAAAACTTTTAAAAGCATAAAATATCTTAGCTGTTTTTTACCTGTGTGAATAATATTTCTGCAAACTACTAAGGACAATTTAGTCCAGCCTTTTCTCTCATAGATGTTAATTTGTAATTCTACACATACACTAGTAATGAGAAAAAAATGAAATAATATAATGGACTCAATTCAAAAGGCTGAAAAGAAAGATCAGTAATTTCATTTATAAAAGCATAAATTTCTTTCAAAATGTAACCACGTAGATTAAAACCACAGTTAGAATAAATAGTCAATGGCAGTCATGATGCACATCCTTAAATTCAAGTCTTGAAACATGCTGATAAATACTTCAGAGTGCAAACTTATTTGGTAGTCTGGACCCAAATACTGAGCCAGTGTGTGCAGACACAGCTCATCGACTCTGGAACCCCTGCAGGAGTGCCTATGGCTCGCAGGGAGCTGGAGTTGTGCACTTCCCAGGGACAGCAAGGCCAGGAGAGATCTTCAGAAGTCATCTAGTCCAACCTTTGCCAGAGGATGAACTGTGCCTTAAACACTGCCAATGTATGAATCTGATTTAACTTCATACTAAAACTTAAGTAAATGATTTTGCAGTGTTCTCAGGAAATGTATTACAGGGCTTTGCAAAGTTACCATCAGGATTATTTTCTCCTAATGCCTAATCTGAAAGTAGGCAATTACCTCTTGCCCTATGAATAGGGAGTTTGGAGAATAAGGTTTGGTGTTCTTTTTTTACTGTCTTCTTAGCAAAAGCTTTTTACAAATGTGAATACTCCTTTAGTCCTTGCTCCTGCAGACTAAACACACCAAATTCTTTCATGTTTTACACGCAAAATAATGTTGTCTAGCACTCTCATCTTTTTTGTCTCTTTCCACTGGACTCCTTCCAGTTAGCCCCCAACCTCCCTCAAGTGTGGTGCCTGAAACTAGATACAGTATCCTAGCTCAGATCTCATTAGAACTTATTAGGCCTAATTAGAGTAAAAGGTTATTTCATGTGAATTTAATGGGGAATGTTTACTTATTCAGTCTAGTATGAAATTTGCTTTTTCACAAAAACATAACATTATTGACCCATGATTAACTTGCCACTCACTGGAATCTGCACGTCCTTTTCCATAGAATTACAACTAGCCTGGTCTACTCCAATCTTTCTCTTAATTACTTCAATTCAAGACTTAATATTTGCCCTTAATGAAGCAAATCCTACTTACGTCATGTAATTTCAGTAATTAATGTAAGTAACTTCTTGTTCTAATCTATTCTTCCAATACACTTTCAGCTTTTATCACCAATAATTACTTGTAAATGAAGTATCTGTTGCATAATCCAATTTATTTTATAAAGGATATCAATTAGCATAAAATTGATTTCAGTAAAAGCATCCTTATTACATCTTCCTAGGTGACTGAATTGTTAACAACCCTAAGTACAAATCACTCTTGTAGATTCTTTTAAACTATGCTACCTGCATTGACTATGAAAATGTCTAAAGCAGACTTTACCAACAGCCCCTTACCAAAATAATTTCTAGTTTTCCCCATTCACAAATCAATTATTTTGTGTGAATCACAACACTCTGGCACAGAGGGAACTGTTAGAATTAATCTTTCATGGTATTTTCCCTTTTCTCTGAAATCATGTATTAAAAAAAGCCAAACCTCTTGAATTGAGAAAGACATATAGAAACTATTTTTCCACAGGATGAACATTAGAAAAACCTAAAATGCATATTTCAATATGTGAATATCTCCCTGTCTTTGCCATAAAGTGGTCCACATTATCTTACACGTCAAATAGACCAAGGGAACATACAGTTGTCCTTACTCAATTCTACGTCCTTCAACAGGAACTACTACTACCACTACAACTACTACTACTACTTCTTCCCAATACATTCCCTGCATCTGGATTAAAATCCTGAATTAAAAGCCAATCCCAACTGGCCTCTATTCTTCTACAGACTCGGGTGTATTCTGGATAACTCCACTGGTGAATGGAAATTCTTTCCCTATCTACTACTTTTTATTGAAAACACTGCCGTCCAAGACACTCAGACAGAAGTAGTAGGTCTTAAGTAGTCTATTTTTATGTAGAGGTTATGTTATATAAATGATATAAAAGGTTAGTGATGGACACCTGCTGGACAAGTTTCTTCAAAGACTCTCTGATGAAACCACATTAGGCAACTCTTCAAAGACAGAGAGCCAGACTTCACAAACTTGATGGAGGTCCTGATACAAATCCATTAAACATCACAGCTGTAATAGATTAATCTAAACCACTTTATTTATTTGGTCTGATCTTTAATATTGTACTTGATGTTACAAATAAATTATAATATTTAATTTATAAAATTTTCACATTTCTTTGTAAAACCAACAATAGGTTTAAAGTAAAAAGAGCTTTGTTGCGGCAACAGCTTTGTTTAACTCCAACAAGATTGTAATTTTTTTACGAGTAGAGAAATGTGTAAACATAAATATTCATGTTTTTCTTCTGTACACATCTGTGTAAATTAGTTGATATAAATATAATTTACTATAGAAACACTTTCTTGTTTGTTTATGCTACACACAGTTCTATGCTGGCATCATGTATTAGTTGATTAATCTTTCAAAGAGTGAGATTTATTCCTTTTGCATTCTAACCCTCAGTATGTCCATTGCCAGCAGTGGACTTCATGTTCAGAGAATCAGACTCACAGTGTCAGAAATCTAAAATTAAACTTCAGTACAAGATTATAAATAATCAAAAATTAATGTATTATTTTAATATCATAATCACCAGACACTTAAAGGCCATGATCCAAGCCAACCAAAATCAATGACTGTTTTTCCATTGACTTAGCTGAAATTCACCCGCAGTTTCCAGTCACTGTAGATTCTCATTTTAGTTTTGCAATTTTATTACAGCATGAAGAGTTAAAAGTACGTAGTATCAGAGCTTCAGTGTAAGAAGTAAAGCCTCTAAGTCTTTCTGGGCCTCTTTATCCTGAAAGAAACAGACAAACATGCATCAACTTAGAGAGGCTAAATCCCTTCATTTGCCTAATACGTGCCTATCCACGTTTCTTTACTAACGACAGACATAACATACAACTGCAACAGCCACAAAATGTAAAGACTGCATAGTAAGTTAATTTATCAGTGAATACAAAAATAAAGTTTGAAGTGAAAACAAGAGCCAGATGGTGGCCTTCCCTTTACAGCTCTGTTGAAGCACTTAAAATGTTAGCCCACAAATAGGCTCCTCAGCAGACCAGTAAGCCCTTCAGCTTGGGATATAACTTTTATTGGTGTACTTTGCAAAAAGTATTGCCTTGCCTTATACCTGACGTAACCTTGCATCCTGACCACATGCATTTTCTCCATAGATGTTCTGTGATGTTTGCTAATGATTTAGTATGCAACTAAGAAGAAAACATTGGGAAATGTAATTAATGACATAGGTTAGATTGTGGTTTCAGTGCATACAGCCATACCCTGTAATAGCCACCATGGGCTGACTGCAACCTCAGTATCTTCCAGACTGGGCTCTGCCAATGCTACTGGGCTCACGGCAGCGGGGCCAATGTGGGAGCAAGAGGCAAGTGACCTGCTGTGCTCAGAGCCAACACTACATTGTACTCCTAAGGCAGCAGAAAAGGCTCCTTTTAGGCCAATGTTTTAAGTGCACAGTTTACATAGGGCTTTAAACTTAAGCCAGGCCTAAGACTGTCTCACAGGTACCTAGTGACATATGCTTTGGCTATTCCATGTATAATCTGCTTGGGAAGGGGCACATGCATATAAGCAAGTAACCATGGTACAGAATTTCCATTCTACTTATTTTTAAATGTCCCCTGGATATAACCTGCTTCCCTCAGCTGCTGCTTCAAAGCTTTTAGCTTGCAAAACGTTCCCTGGTTTAAAACCACATTTCTAAAATGCCAGCACCTCATGCCTGCTGGCTCGTAAGGGTCCAAACACCCAACACACGCACCCATGGATATTTAACAGTGCAAGTGAAAAATGCCTGCACGTTACAGATTTTGTGTAAGTATTTCTAATGACAGGGACCAGTAATGACAATGCCACAGGATATTCTGAAAGAAAATACTGTAGACAGTCAGTAATCACTAAATTTCAGGATCACTTCATTACCCAATCAATCAAAGAGCTGGAACAAAATACAGAACATTTTAGAATATATGTTATGGGTGAAGAAATTCCTGCTTCTCTTTATTTTGGTTAGTTGTCTATAATGTCATGGAGAAACAGAGAAGAATATTGAGATGATAGAAACCATATGCCAGACATGTCAAACTACATCATATTATTGGTCTGGATTAAGGCATTAATACATTAGCTGGACACTTCTCTTGGAGTTACTGCCTTACTCCTACTGGCAACAATAGGCTAAACTATCTGCCTAATCATTTATCAGAGGCCTTAAAAGGCACACACTGCAAAGCCAGTAAGCTTTTGCCAAAATACTCCAACAGAAGGAAATGTCATACGGCATTGAGCACCCTTAAACTCCACGTCAATACAGGCTGTCTGGGGCACCACACTGCTGCTTTCAACAAAAACTGAAAAACTCAAATTTTCCCCTTAATTCAGGGAAAATACACTCTTTTCTGTACTGACTGTGGTCAACTTGTGAAAATGATTCTAAACACCATTAAATAAAAAAAGTAAAAAGCCAGATATTGTCCTATGCTAATAAGAAATGGAAAAGTTTAATTGTATCTGGTTGTACTCTCATGACACTTTTCTAAGATGAAAATTATAAAGGTGCAGGTTTTGTCATATCTGAATAGTACTCAGCATTTCATGAGTTGATGGGATTCTCTACTCATTTTTCAGGATACAGCATTTTAAAAATATATCTCCAAACAACTTGGATAATTGTCTCTTTAGAAGTAAAGGATTATACTGGGCAATGAGCTTTACAAGTTGCAAAGGTCCAGAAAACATTGGGCAATCTTCCCTGAATCTTCCTCTGGGCTTAAGAAAAAGAACGGAACAAACCCATGATTGTTCTAAGAACTGTCTGGAGAAGAAACTGCAAACGTGCAAAGCGTTCTACCTCTGGTTTGCCAGTTCTAAACCGGACTCCATCAGTTAAAGCAGGAATTATTGTTGCAAAGTGCTTAACGGGTTGCATTAATTGAGCCAGCAGCTTCCAGTCAATAAGAACTCGTATTGCAAAAGCATTGAAAAAAATCAGTAATGGCATTAAAAACAAAGCTGAGAATGGTCAGTGAAGGGAACTATTATGTCACCTTTGGAGAGAGTCCTTCCAGACCAAGAGATGTGTCATGCTAAAAGGAGAGAGAAGTCACAACTCTGTTCAGTGTCCTAGTTTCTGGTTTTAAGGAACAAAACTTCACTATTGCCCAAAGCTTGACTGCTAATGGAAAGAAAAACCCATAAATCCTGTCTTGGGCCAATTCTCTTCTTTGTGGATTTCTGGGTCTGTGGCTTTCTGAAAATGAACAATATGGTCAGCTTTTTTCTTTTTTATTTTTCTTCCAGACAGCAGGCTCTCTCTTTAGAGTGTGGCAAGCAGAAGAAGTGCAAGTTGCAGGAGGAATGCAGTATACTTGCGTCAGTCCCATTTGTTCACCCTGAGGCTTAGTTCAGCACTGACTGAATACACAGCCATTTTCAACCTTGTCTTTCTACTGTCAAGGCTTACATTTATTAAACACTCCTTATATCATTTTCAGAGTTGAATATGAGTTCAAAATGTTCTGCAAACTGCTACACAAAAGGTATTCAAATTACAGGGTCAGGGACTGTATTTTGCCTTATTCCTATTTTGTTGCTTTACTTTATGTTTCATCATTCATAGGGGATATGCACAGGAAAAAAAGGCCTGGGAGGCCAGGGACTGAACAAGGGGAGAGAGGGAGTTGAAAACAAGAGCAAGACGGAAGAGAGAGCTGGTGGGAAAAAGGGAATGTTGGCTTAACTCGAAGTAGTCCACATTTTGACAGTTCATCTTTGCTGAAAAAGATTTACTGATACATATACATGGAGAATTACACATACAAATGTGCATATAAAAATTAAATGGTAATTAAAACCAAGACAGAAAGATAATGATTTTACCATCCTCTGCTAATCATTTCCTTATGTGCTAACACACTCAACCAAGGCAGTGCACATGTGTGCACTTGTCGACAAAGTCCCAAATGTCAACAGAGAACGATACACCCCTATGACCACGACAAAAATGGTCACACCAGCCAAAGAAAACATAATTGTGTGCAACCACTGCCAAATCCCAAGCTGACATGCATCCTGTAGGGTTTCACTGAAGTCAGCGGGGCAGCATGGTATATTAAATGAGCTGGGCTGCAAGGGTGGTCCAAAGCTGTACTCTGATATGCAGTAACAGCAATGAGGTGCTGAGAGACACTCCTGCTTTTGGGTACAGCTGTATCATTCCCTCACAGCTCCAGGAGAAATCCTGGACTGTAGCAGAAGAGACTCTCAAACATGCACAAGGGCTGTTAGAGAGCAATAGCTCTTGTGGACAATATAAATCATACAAAGCTAAATGCTATCCTATCCATTCTTGGTTTCCAGACAGACTCTCAGAGAGGGTATGACTGTGCTGTGCACTGACAATTGCATAAATACCATTAGTTTTCTCCTTTGATATTGCAATACACCAATGCAATCATCCACACGCCACCTTCTACATGACTGCTGTACGTCACAAGCTAGGGCATTCTATATTCTTTCATATTATCACTATCTTCTCTGGGGATTAACCATAACTTCCCCAGGAAGGGGATCAAGGCAAGCACAGCTTTAAAATATGCAGCTATCAATAATTACAGATTAATTACAAAAAAATACCCTTTTGCACCCAGAAGAATATTAATAAACAGTTCAGCTTGTTCAAGGACTACTGTTGAAAAATTATGGAACAGCAGAATACAATTCAGAATAGTTAGTAGTCATGTAAAATTTTAACTGGCTAGTTCTCTTCTGACTTGAAAGACCGAATTTCACTTATGATCTGGTTTTCTTTTACTATGGTATACAATGTGGAGCCTTTGGTGTTCAAGACATTCTCCTCTTTCTGTCCAGCTGCTGCCTCTCCCACGATGGGACCTACAGTTTTTCTTTCTGCAGTCATTGCTGAAACAGTCTGACCAAAATCACACCCAGATACAGCCCCCTCAGAAAGGTGCCTGTCAAGGCTTTCCTTCACTCTGTATATTGCCTCAAAGACAATATATTTCAAAATCCCAGAAGTTTGACTTGGCCCAGCTTCTCTACAAACATTCAAAATGGGTTTTTGCCAATCTATTTTGTAATCCTGGAGTGTACCACCACCTTTGTGAATACTTCTTCCACTCTGCCCCTGCATAATCAGAATGCCAGTGGAGGAGACACACTCCATACTTCTGGGAGCATACTTCAGAGCTGTCTTGCTGGACGAAGAACTATGCTAAAACTGTGTTAGCTTTGGTAGGATGTTGAAACGAATACTGTGTGATAGTCAGTTTAATCATAAATATAATAAGCTTGGTATTTACCAGGAGAAATTTCATCCTTATGTATGAAACTGTGACACCACAAAAAATACCTTCATCACTTTTCGGAATCATTTTCAGAGGGAGAGAAGAAATAAGTACACAAAGCAAACAAACCTTTTTCCAAGAACTTAAAAAACATGCAGATAGAAAACTGATCTGATCACTAAGAGAAAAATAGACTATTCTTTGAAGTATAAAATAATGTAAAATATGGGCAGTCTCAAATTATTTTAGCAACTCTTTAACAAATGTCCCATTTAGTTTGAAATTTGATCTCTTTATAATGAGTTCTTAAAAACTGTATTCCTTGAGCTTGAAGCAGTCACATTCATTGTATACAAAACCACTACTTAAGGAATAGAATTTTTAAGCACACTCAAAAAATATTTTAGCTTTAGGTGGTAGCTATTAGGAAATTCTTGTTCAACTCCACAAACAGTACTAGCAGGAAAACAATAGCTTAGAATTCAAAATAAACACAAACCTGAACACTTCCATTATTTTTCTATTGAAACACCATTGACTTTTGCTGGCCATTTGGAGGACAAATGTGCAAAAAATCTAAAGCAACAAATACTCTCTGGAAAGACATTTTGTATTGAGCTGAAGATGTGAAAAGAAAATATTCTGGTTGATGAGAAAACAAAACCACTTATAAGGTTAGCCTAAATTACTCAGTTTCAACTGGTAGTTTTTTTCAAAAAAAAGGTCATAATTTGCAACCTTCACTTTAAAAGCAAGAATAAATTAGTTTTTTCTCCTCAAAATCTTACTGAGAAGGATTACAATAGCAGCTTCTATTAAGATCTGTTGGAAATATCACAACGTCTGCTCATATAACCAATCCATGGTGGCTGGAGCAGGTATTTCTTTCTCAGAAAATCTTGAAAATCCAGATACACAAATGGTCTGTTGAAACAGAACAGCTGATGGGTGCTGAAGTTTATACTCTGACCTCTCTTCCATCCCTCTGTAACTCCCACTTTTTTCCTTATAGACAATATTAAAAATGAAATTAATGGCCAGGGAGATCAATTACGGTGTTGTAAAAAAACAAGTGTAAGAAAATTGTATGAGCATGATTTCTCCCCAGCAGCTGCAGCTGCATTCTTGTGTAAACATTCAACCGT